GTAGGGGAAGGGAATAGAGAGGGGAGACGAGACCACTGGCGAGAGAGGGGAAGGGGAAGGAGTGAAAAATTAGGGTTAAGAGTTTTTATATCACCAGATTTTTGAAGAATTAAATTTGGTCCCTGATTTTTGAATTTGAAACTTTAAACCCCTGGAATTGTGTAATTTCCTCTTATGCTTAATACTCGTACGAGTTGAGATTTATAGTCTGTTTGGTGCACATTAAAATCAGATAATGCATTTTTTTGAAGTGATGTGATGGGGAATATGTGGTTGAAAATGAAGAAAAAATTATTGATGTGATGAAAAATATTATTTTATTAAAAAATGTGTGGTTGAAGATGAGTAGAAAAATGAGAATGAAAAATATAATGTGGGTCAAACAGGGGCTTATTGTCTCTAATTCGTTGTCTCTCACACATTATTTGACTACTTGACAAATTAAGGACCTGTTTGTTTAGGATTAAAATCAGATTTTAATTTAAGTCAAAGTCAAACAATTAATATTAACCACATCTTTCATGGGTGCCCACAACTTTTCAACCACACTTTTCAAAAACTTTTATCACAATCTACTAAAAATTTAATTTTAATCTCCACCAAACACCCACTAAAACTTTGCACCTTTTTCATTTGCTAATAAAATGTAATATGCCGAGTTGTAATGTACTGAAAGAGGACAACAAGTTCGGGGCATATTTGAGCGTTTTAGATTAAGTTATTGATTCCAACATATTTTACGAATGAATAATGTTATCTTGCACGAGTGGTTGATTGCACCAGTCTATACGACAGTGAAGTCTAAGATCTGCAATTTGCGAACAAGTGTAAAGTACAAGACTCCACGCTATATAAATTGATGTTAAGCACTGCTAGTACTAGAGATTATGACTCTTTACGTATGAGTGCTAAATATAAAAACTTCAAATAATTAATTGTTTAATACTGAAATTAATATTAATAAACAGATTTTTTTTGTAGAATCATACATATATACTGTGTCCTTAGAAACAACCTAAAAGTGGTGCACCTGTTTCTATCATGAATTAATCTATTTCAATTTGTTACTTTTGTACCACGAAACCCTAAAAGTTGCATGGAAGTCATCTAAATCGTTTTTTCTAGATTAAAGCTCTTGACCAACATTATTTTCAATTATATCCTCTCCTAGTCAAGTTAAATACAATAAAGAAAAAAACGATTTCGATACATAGGGTTGCATCATAGTGTACTGGCTCACTCAAGCTCAGATAATTTCACTCTATTGAAGCACAACCAAACACGATACAAAGGTCGTGTGAGCTATTCCATACCGATCGACACAAGTTCATAGTTTAAACAAAAGAAAACGACTGCAAAAAATGTATACGAACATGTAGACTTGATACTACTTTGATATTCTAACCCCGCATGCCTAAAAGCAGGTCACGCTGGACTAAAAATGGATCATCTTAAAAAAAAAATCGAGCCGTGCACATCTCTAGCTCTAATTATGCAAATACTCTCTTGAGTCTTGGGTTTGCTTTCCAATGGTCACCGGTTCGAGTTCTCTCAGAGCTACTGAGGTGAGTATCCGACCGTAAATTTCAGGGTTCTGTGGGATTAGTCGAGGTGCATGCAAACTGGCCCGAACATTCACGGTTAAAAAAAAAATTTACATAAAAAAACAAAAAAAAAAAAAAAAAAAAAAAAAAAAAAAAAAAAAAGTTATGCAAATACTCTCCTTCACTCCTTATATATTTATTTTGACCAATCAAATTATTTCTTAAGGTTTTTAATATTTATTTCACAAAAAACAATTTAATAGATAAAAACAATTTTTTATGTCAAATGTTTTTTCTAAGTTGACCCTTTTTTTTTTATTGTGTTTATGGACGCTTCTCTATATTACCGTTAACTATTTTATTAAAAAAATTTATCCTTTTGATCCTTTTGTACTAATACGATGATTGAATTAATTTTTTGAAAAATAAAATTGTAGAGATCACAGTCACTATAAACTCTAGACGGCTTGCTTTTTGAGACCTCTACCCTGATACCTTTAAGCTAACGTCGTTCTGCAACTCGAATCAATATGAATTTATTGTTTATATGTGTACCTTATTTGATGGCTTCACTATTTAGCAAAGTGAAAATAACCATCTAAAATAATATAGTAAGCGCATATTTTGCCGTCAAGATACGGGTCGTGAGTAACCTTTTATTTGTTGTAATCTCGATTCAATTTTTTAAAAATTCGAAAACAAGAACAAAAGACAAAGATAAGAACAAAAATAATAATAATAAATTGCAATCAGTCACTCCAACTTATTGGTAATAAGTTCACGGTACCCAACTATATGCTCAAGTGTGTCATAACTCATAAGGATGTGGCTGAGTATCGGGGAAAAGTCATGAGAGGGTTGTACGCATGTGTACATTCTAGTGATCGCGAATCATCACGACTTTGCCCTAAAGATCGCATTTGCTGATTCCACTACATGTGTACAACTCCGATCATTCTTTTCAACACATGATCAGCTTAAGCTTCACCTGGAGCTGGTAGTTGTAATTGTTCCTTCGATGGCTAGACGAAGGGGGGTGATTGTGCAGGACAAATTAGCTATCGTGCGAGACATTCGAAATCGTGAGTACTTAATTTTTTTTAATTTGAAATTTTAGTTTTTAGTTACACAGTACCAAATTAACACATTATTATTTATTTGTAGGGACAATTGTAACATGTTTGCAATAAAGTATATCGAATTTTTTATTATAATATATAAGGTTGATGGAATCAACCAATTCCGAATACAAAATTGAATAAATAAGTTAGCACGCGATTTGTATAAATTCAATTGTGATCCATAAAGATTGTATATTTATTTGTGAAAAAATTGTAAATATTTGTAAAAATTGTAAATTTAATTGTTTATTTATTTGTGAATAATTGTAAATATTGTAAAAAAAAATATTATATATTTAATAGTTTATTTATTTGTAAAATAATTGTAAATATTGTAAAAAAAAAAATGTAAATGTTGTATATTTCATTGTTTATTTATTTGTGAAATAATTATAAATATTGTTCAATTATTAGTGATACGATTACACATCATTGAGGAAAATTTGACTTGTACAAAATTGGTGAATATGCCATCTTATTTAGCACCTACTGTACCTACACAGTCGAGAAAACTTTTCAATGGATGATATTCTAGACGTGAGTGAACGTCCATGACCACGCAATTCAACTTCGGTGATAACAAATTATTAAGTAGGAGAATATGGTCGGGAACTTCCCAGTCATTTTCACTAGGTGGAGAAAATAGAGTCTCAATAACCTTTGCAGCCTTGAAGAATTTCTCCTCTTAAGTCAGAGCTAGCACACTCATGCAACTCTGTGATTCCGCACGTCTGTCATGAAACCACTGCTGCAACTTGTTACGAATTTTCTCAATCAGGAAATAGAATTGGTAACTCTTGATACTTCTTGAATAATGTATTGAGAAACTTCGTATTGTTTGACGTATCATGTTCTATCGATATCCTGGAAAATGTAATCGCGCCTAATATTTAATTCTCATTTTTGTTAGATACTCTCATGTTGAAAATGGTTTACTTCCTATTTCTACCATGAATTTATTGTACTCTTCAACACTATAAGTTTCGACCGCTCTACTGAATAATAAAACGATGTCTTTACCCTGATACTTAGTCTTCAAATTGCCTTATATATGATACATGCAATACTCATGATGGGCCACGGGAAAAATTTTAGCGATACCATTTATTATAGATGGTCATTGATTAGTTACAAAGGCAAGGTCATCGACTTCCCTAATTACTTTCCTCAACTTTATGAAAAAACAACGCATTGACAGATCACTCTCACTATTGACTATGTCGAATGAAAGATGATAAATTTGGATGTTGGCATCTTTATACATAGCAATAATTAACTTGCATTCGTATCTAATTTTCAGAGTTGTACGATCGACTAAAATTAGGAGTCGCATCGCATTTCGAAATCCTCAAATGCATTGTCCAAAGAGCCGTGAAAAAAAGTTAAAGCAATTCTCGCCTCCGTCTCAATAAAAAATGTAGAGCTAGGATTAGTTATACCCACGCTATGGCAATACACAGCCAATTTAACATAGATTTCCTCGATCGAGCTCATTAGGTCCTCCAACTTGCATTCTTTGCCTTCCAGGCCTTCAATATTTCATGATCACTCTGTACTCTCGACGGACGTCGTTAATAATGCTCAAAGGTCTATAGATCGTATGTGGGTCCTGATACTTGTGTATTATCTGTTGACCAATAATTAGGCTTGTCTGTGATCATTTCGACGAATTCTCACTTCGCAAGTATGCTCTCGTGTATACTTGCGAACTACAAGCAACTCGTTCGTGTCTATTTTCGTCGCTCATAAACGCCAACGATAATTGTCGTCGACGCAGACAATCGTTAACAATGACTTTTTTGATTTCTTCACTTTAAACTCAAAGATGTGTTTCAGTGCAATTCGGTGCGCAACTTCCTACAAATCTTTCTTTATTTCAAACAGTTGCTCAACATACAAATCCCCATCATCAAGAACCACACACAAAGAATTAAATGACGGTCCACTAGATCTACCCCCTGGGCTCCCACCTTACTCATGTCTCTGATGTGATAAAGTAATCAAATCCTCATTTGTAAATTCATTATCATTCTCATTGTCGTGAACCGACGAAATTCTGTGAGTAACAGCGAGATCACAGTGAGGAACAACTGTTTCGAGAATAACCATATCATTCTCATGAGCTATCTCCACTGTGTCCCAAAAATCATTGACATTGTGATCTGAATCTTCGTATTCACATTCGGCGACATTCTTCCTCACTAAAGTCACGTAAAGATGAGTCTATACATTTTGTTCAATTCAAATAGATAATTAACTTCAGCATTAGAAGCATCCTTCATATGTTGAATCGGAATGGATGAATGCTCGTTGAATTCAAATTTCAGTTCCATATCGTATTGAGAGAGATCGACTTTCACCTTTTTTTTACATCATGGTACATTTCCGCATATGATGTGCTTGATGTTATGGAATACCACCACGTATATCACTCATGCATTTTCATACACATCGATCTTCTTCATCATCGAAATCACCAAAGTAACAAACTAAAATTACAACCATTTATGCATAACGAAACATAATTTTTAATTATAAAAAATAGTTGAAAAATCAGGTCAACCACTGGAAAATGAGATTAAAAAAAAAAAGCTGCTTAACAGACAACCGGCTATTACGGCCAATAGTTAGGCCGTAACAGCTGACTGTTACGACCATGATATATATGCAGATGAATTTTTTTTCATATTTATGCTTAAAAAATTATAAATTTGTTTTAAAAAATTTATCTCTGTGTTAATCCATGTCGAAATAGGATTTATCAATTAAAATCGAATACTAACTTAACGAAAACGAAATTATACATATAAAAATATACTTATCAATTCGAAGTGATCGGTGTACAAAAAAAATCTTGCTCAACGTTTGATCAATTTATGAGACTTTGATGTTAAAACAGATGAAAAATGAGAGTTTTTATCTGTTTTGAAATAAACAGATAAAAAAAAGTTAAGATTGTGTTTGATTAGCATGAAAAATATATCCTAAAAAATAAAACATTTTCCTTATTTTGAGGAAAATAAAAATTTACTCTCCCAAAGAAAATATTTTCCTTAAAAATAATGAAAATTAAGCATATTTTTAAAAGTTCAAAAATATTTTCCATAGAAAAAATAGCAATTAAACACTTCAAAGTAGAAATTTAAATGAAAAATTAACATTTTCCATAAAAAATAAATGCAATTAAACACACCTAAATGATTTTGAAATTTTATGTGAGAAGTGCTTAATTTTTACTTGTTCCCTAAAATGGTAATAGTCTTTTAGATAAAACAATATTTTGTAATTGTATTGTTTACTTTAGGGCATCTTTGTTTTTTACCATTCAAAAGGTCATTGTGAAAATATGCAATTGTTGAAAATTCAAAACGGAAATTAAGGGCATGTTCTCTTTGTCGTTTTCAGGTCGTTTTCTGTTTTTGATTTTTCAAAATACCGAAAACGCGTTCTCTTTTCCATTTTCGAAAACCCCTTTTTGAAAACACAAAAAAAAATTGTACTGAAAACACAAAACGTCATTTTTGACGTTTTGGGCGTTTTCAGTACAAAACACGAAATAAGTTGGAAAACGCGGAAAACGCTCACCCAAATTTAAAAAAAAAACTTTCATCTCCCCTCCCTCGCATAGCCTCCCGTAAGATTCTAGATTATGGCTACCTTCCGGCCACCATGGTCACCGGATTCCACCACCACTAAACACACCTCACTGCCCTCTACAACATACACCCAGCCGTCGGCAGCAAACTCACCGGAATCAGCAGAAAAAATAGTCCAAAAATCAGAACTGTCGTACACTTCTACTGTCGGGAACTCTTGTTCTGGCGACACCCATGGTCGCGCACCACCGCCGATCAGTATCCCTCACCCAGACAATCATAACCATGGCCATACTTCAACCAATGGATCTCCCAATCGATCAGAATCAAATCATGTCAGTCGCGCAGCTTACGGGTTCGAATGTGCAAACTTCAATTCATCTTCACCACTACATTGAATCACCAAATTTGCCCTAAACGAGTCTTCAGCAGCATTATACCACCATGGGTAGCATAATAATTGCACCAATTGATCCAAAAACAGCTCCAATTGGATGGGTTTTGTACTTTTAAACATATGGCGGCAGCTTCTGATGCTCATCAGGTCTGCAGCCACTGGTGAGATTCTTCTTTCTTTTTTTCTTTTTCAACTTTTTGTGTGAAGA